GATTGAAACTATTCAAAGCAAGTAATGTCTGAGATGATGACCAAAATAATTCGAGTCCATAATAACAGAACAACCGAAAATGTAAATATACGTCGTTATATTACGGCATGTAAGGATTGTCTTAAGTCAAGACAATTGAAGTTGGACGATGTGTATTTAACTTTTCGTTCGACTAATTACAGTTTGTGGACAATTTACCGCGAATAATTACGTTTTTCGCGAGATATAACAGTTGGCACCATTTTCCCTTTTACTAATACTATTATTTTTGGTTTCATCCATAAATGCCTGTATTTGAGAAGTGAAATGACGCATTTTTTTTTTTTGTTTTTCGTTTTATCACCGAAAGTTACGCCGGATACAACTGGTGCCTTTTTAAAGTTTCTGGACTACTTTCTTACTGGAGGAAATAGTAAACTCCCAAAATCAAATTATTGCTATTTTGTCGTAAATAGTACGAAGAATTTAGTGAACTGCTTGCTACAAGCAATGTCATTGAGCATTATAAACTGATATGACAGGAATATAAAAAATGTGCGGTATCCGTGCATGCCTTATCCTAATTTTACTCGTTTATTATACAGCATTTATTTTATTGCAAACGTAAATTATATAGAAAGAAATTTTACATTTTTTAACGTATTTTAATATCAGGGTTACGATACAACCGCTCACGTTATGTCATGGACTCTTTATTTCTTGGGAGGATTACACGAAATACAGGAAAAAGTGTATTTAGAATTGCAAGAAATTTTCAAAAATGATATGAATAGAGATGTTACGATTGATGACCTGACGAAAATGACGTACTTAGAATGCGCAATTAAGGTAATTTCTTAATTTCTTTAATACATTCAAAAATTAGTTTTATATATTACAATTTCCAGGAGTCGATGAGAATCTATCCTCCTGCTCCTTTTATTGGAAGAAAAAACCCTTCGAAAATAAAAATAGGTAATTTTTCATGTCTTGGAATTTGTTTTTCAATAAAAATATTTTATATTCGTTATTAACTCGAAGCATAAAACCGTTGTCATTCAAATAGGTAATTACGTGTTGCCTGCAAATTCCACTCTTATGATAAATATCAATGGCATCCATCATAATCCTTCTGTTTACGAAAATCCCGAAGTGTTCGATCCAGACCGTTTTCTACCTGAAAACTATAAAAATCTTCATCCTTACGCATTTCTGGCATTTTCTGCTGGTCCACGAAATTGTCCCGGTAAGTGATTAGTGAATAAATACAAAAACAAAAGAATTATTTCATTAAAATTATTCGTTTATAGGTGGTAAAGGTGCCATGATTGCAATGAAAATGGTTTTGGCAAACGTTCTTCGTAATTTTAAAGTTTACTCTTTGGATCCCCAGGATAAAATTATTACTTCATGGGATGTTATGTTGACTCCAATATCAGGTATAAGAATGTGTGTAGAAAAAAGATGTATGTTGCAAGATATTAAATAACACGAACGTTGGGGCAATTTTTATTACAAATATATATAAACATAGATCTATATCATATAATCTAGAAGAATGCATTTAAAAACTGTATCGAAATAATTCTACGTATGATTAAACTTTACTCAAAAATTATAATTCACATTTTTATAGATAAAAGTGATGAGAATAAAATGTATTTCGATTATTACTATTAAATTTACTTCACTGTAATACTATTTTTGCTGTTTATTGCATTTTATTTATTTATCACATTCATAATTTCTAGTATTTTAGTTTACGTAAATTAATCTGTTGTTAACGATCTCTTGTTCGTATTTACCTGTATTATTTAAAATGTTCTAAACATAGATGATTTAGTTATTTACTTAATGATGTGTTGGATACAAAATATTTGTATTTCCTTTTAGTATTTGTCTGATAAGCTATAGAAAGAAAATTATGCGATTTCAAATTTGATATAAATTGTCGGGATAAAAATCGTCTGGCACACGGTTTTCCCGCGCTTTTCCAATCGTTCGACAGACGACGGTTGATCATACGAAACGGCAATCGGACCACTTTTGAAGACTCGACCGCTGATTGGTTGAGAGACATCACACCATCGGTGGACGTCTTGTAGAGCTGCTAAGTGCTGATTGGCGGAATCCAATTCTGCTTCAATCCTATAAAAGGATTGAGTGGTGGCGGGAAATTGAGTTCACCGTGGACTCAGAAAGTGGACTCACGTTTGGTCTTAGTTCGCCTAAGCTGGTCCCGAAGCTTTTCTCGTCTCGTTGGGCTGTAAAGGACTTTAGAGTTAGTTCGTTGCAAGGTGTCTTTTCGACGGACCTGTTGTAGTGGATAAATGAGTTGAACTATGTTATAATTAACGTTTTGTAAATGTTTGTTTTGTGAACTTTGTAACTGTACATACGTTTATTTGTAATATATATATATATATCTTTTTATATGTATATCGGTGCGTGTGTGAAGTTTTGAACTTTACTTAAATATTTAAAATATTTGATTAATTAATATGTAACTGTCATTAAGAGGAATACTATGATTATATGGCATGCAGTTGAATAAACCCTACTCGCTTTTCATATAAAATGAATACAATTGCCAAAGAAAAAGGTCCAAAATTTAACACGATATTATATATTATAAGAGTAAAAATTGTATTCCTAAATGAAATATAAATTTTAGTACAGAATTACAAGTACTTAACATCAAATGTTTAAATAGATTTGATGTTCTGTACTTGAAAACTATAAGTCACAGTGAAAACAAAAGTAAAACCCCGAAGTAATAATCGAAGCAGGAAACTTGCTTTTGTTTTCAAATTGTTTATATAGATTTACGGTGTGAAATGTCTTAGTTGTAATAAAAATAGTATCTGCAAAAAATGCAAAAAATGTAGTTATCATCTTTAACTTTGCTTAAGTTAGGCTTTTAAGTCTTTTATGATTTTTTCCATCTGATCTGGAATTTACCATTATTTCCTCGATTAATGAACGTTAAATTATATACATTTCATAAAATAGCATCTGTGTGTGGAAACCGACCTCTTACGTCAAGCTTCCTAAACATCAATTTCAACCTGCGCATTGCCCGAACAGACCTGAACTTGAACAAGAAACGACGAATTTTATGAGACCATGTTCCACGACATATTACTAGTATAAAAAGAGCACTGCTGCAGAAATTGCGTTGGAGCTTTTGAGCATCCACTGTGTTCATCATAGAAATCCTTTTTGTGTTTTGGGTTTTTTTCTGGAACTAAAACGGACTTTACGTGGTCAACGAATTCCATTGATAAATGTCAGTCTTGCTTGCAGTAGAACTCTCCAGGCCAGTGGTAGCGAACCTATGACCCTTGGTTCAAACAGGGACGCACACAGGCTTTTTAAATGACCCACCAGTTGATTTTAATAAACTTATTTTTTATATCATAAAAAAGATAACAGACAAACAAAAACATTAAAAGAATAAAAGTATATACATATCTAATGTCAAATTTATAAAAAAAAAAGTCAAAAGTTCAATCAGGTAACGTGACACGCGCTCGGTGTCATTCCATGGTATAGGGGAGACCGGGGCAACTTCGGCATGCGGGGCAAGTTTGTCAAGCGCTTTTTTTAAAAAACAAATTAAAAAGAGACTTTGGTTATAGGTTAGGCAGTTGAGTTTTATTGGTGGCTTGTTGAGTGTAGTGTTTTTATTGTTCTCCAACAAGCGTAGTTGAATTATCAAGCAAATTTTCATTTTCGTTCAATTCCATATAATATTTTTTTTCCATTTATATTGAATTGGCAGGTTTTGTTATAATTCCATGATAACGAAAGTTACTTTTCCTGTTAGAAGGATGTAACTTCAACTTATTCACGTGGCCAGATCGTGGCTTGGCATTCTGTTCTCAGGGTTGTACTTAATGTTTCGAAATCATGACTAGCGGGGTAAGATCGGCAACATAAAGCCACATTAGAAGCAAAGGATAAAAATCAAACAGATGATAAATGAAAACATGTTTGCATTTGTTATTCATGTATATATGTCTTTGAACTTGCATTTCGTTGTAATAATATTAAATGGGTGTTGGATTTGTATTTCTTTGTTTTAATAGTGAATTCCAACTTATACATTGTTAATAACATAATTTTATATACGTGCCTATCTTGCCCCATTACTGTTGCCCCTATACCAGGGGCAACTTTAATAAAAATAATTAAAATAATTACAACTTTACAAAAAGAGAGAAGTTGCCGATCTTGCCCCTATACCCGGGGCAACTTCGTCAATTTCTCTCTTCTTGTAAAGTTGTAATTATTTTAATTATTTTTATTTCCAAACTGATTTTAACCAGTTCTATAGTAAGTTAACATTCCAATAGACAATATGCAAAGCTTTTTTTTCAGTCTACAGCAGTATTTATTACACAAAATTTAAGTAAAGCTTAACATGCCGATCTTGCTCCGGTCTCTCCTAAATAATAAATTAATAAATTTCTATTACAAATAAAAATAATAATATGTTAAGTTAGTATGAGGTAACATTCTATATTAGAATAAGGCCGTAATATTAATTTTATTCCAGTTACGTAACAATTATTGAATTACGAAACAACTTCCAAAATATAATTTGCTTTTTCTACACTTATTAATATATATTGTTTGTGCAAACTAAAAAAAAAAACAATTTCGGACGATACGATAGCCAGGATTATTTTTTTCAGAATCAGGAAATTTTCGTTATGCATCAACAAAAATTCACCCCGAGGCAACGCGCAACGCTGAGAAATTTCGAAATTGAATAAGATAGTTTTACCGAAAATGGATCCTGGACGACCTCGCGGTCGTCATAGGCAAAGTTTGAAAAATCGCGCTGAAAACCAGCAATACGAAAGTAGATTGAAGAATGAGAACAAGACCCCGCCTTGAGCATCAAAGTGATTCCGCATAGTAGTGAGTCTCCGAAACATAGACTAGTCCCAAATACGGCCTTGCCTATTTACTTGTTTTTTCATTATTAAAGTTTCTCATCTACATATGTATGTATGTCAGGTACGTTAATAAGAAATTTCTTCTCAAATTATTGTATTCTAAATATGAATATTTTTAGTTGTAGTCCCATACTATGTCGGCAATTAAAAAAATCAAAACAAACGATATTAGTTGCAGACCATATCAAACAGAATGGTTTGATGAATATGGTGTGATTGAAAAGAATAAAACGATTTTATGTGTAATTTGTAACGAAAAAGTCACTTCACGTACAGTACCGTACATACAATTGTGATAATCTGAAGTTATTCTTAAATAGATTTATATAAATTTTTCTTAAACAACTTAAATAAATAATTTAATTCAACTACAATTAAAATGGGAAAATTGATAAAATTTAAAATAATACTTAACATCAAATGTGTAAATAGATTTGATGTTCTGTACTTGAAAACTATAAGTCACAGTGAAAACAAAAGTAAAACCCCGAAGTAATAATCGAAGCAGGAAACTTGCTTTTGTTTTCAAATTGTTTATATAGATTTACGGTGTGAAATGTCTTAGTTNACGAGTCATTTTCTCGATTGTGGGAGGCCGCTAAGTGTAAGAAAGGTGGGTTAACTGTAGAGAACAGAATACTATATCGGCAAGATAGTTGGTTCGGCAGGCCCATTAAGCAGATAGTTGTTCCCCAAGATCGGAGAGCGGAAGTGCTAGATTTAGTACACAAAGCTCCGTGCGGCGAACAGTTAGGCAGTCGGAAATCGGCAAGTCGCATGCGCGAGGGCTTCTATTGGCCGGGAATGGCGACCGATATCCGGAAGTACTGCCAGAATAGTCGTGGGTGCCCAGTAAGTGCGCCTGATTTAGTCCTGGATAGGATCCCAGCTACACCACTTACTCGGTCCTCAACCCTGTTTCAAGTGGGTAACATAGGCAAGATTGAATCGTTAGATCCCTCGTCATCTAACGGTCATCGATACGCGGTTTGCATAATCAGCTTAGGCATCCGTTTGTCAGAAGCGGAAGGGATGAGATCGCTGTCAGCGACGGCCGCTTGTTCAGTGCTTTTGCAATTCTTTACCCGGACGGGTTTTCCCGAACCGATTTGTTACGATCAGGGGACCAATTTCACTGCAAAATTGACGCGTGAAATGACCCGTATGTTAGAAGTAAAGAATGTAGAGATAGATCCGATCAAAGCGATTCCCGATATTGCAAGTAAACACGCGGCCGTGAAACGAAAAGAGTATGCAGTGCCTTACAAGTTGGAAGCACGGCAAAAGGGATATAACATCGGGGATATGGTTCTCGTGGAAAAGTCTTCCCCGGATGACAAATTGGATGTCCGGTGGGAATGGCCGGATGTGGTAGAAAAGCGAACATTCGTTCTAAGAATAGTACTCGGTTTCGATGGGAGATTCGGGGAACTGGATCAAACTTCGTCCCCGCGACAGCTGTATGATCGCGGACGAGGGGACAGAAAAGTACGGGGAATTTCACCGCTTCCCCCGACAGCGGCACGGACCGAGCTGGATGACGTGCCGTTGGATTACAACTCGAGGTTTGGTAGTAGACCGAAGAAGAAAAACATCTGGACGCTTACTGGAGGGTGGATCCCGAAACGGTTTACCCCATTCCGGATTTCGCTAGCTTTACGAAAGCGGTTATTAGGCATCGGTTATAAAGGCATCGCTGCGCGTAGACGGGTAAAATTCCCGGATGGTCCGGATGTNACACAAATATTTGTTATATTTGGGTTTCTAATTAATAAAAAGCGACGAAACACCATTTTAAAGTGTATTTTTATTCAACTAATATATTTATAAATAATATGTAGCCCAAGAAGTAGCCAATGCACCAAATGATAATTTCTACGTCAATCAAAAAAAGTAGCCACATTTAGCGCAATGTAGCCAAATCTTGCAACGTTAGAAGAAATACTAAATAAAGCTGTAGTTGTGACTCAAAGGATTATAGACAAAAATGCGGAAAAAGTAGAGAAAGGAGAAAAGATAAAGTGAGAAAGGTTGGAAAATTAAGGGTCAATATTTGCATAACAGAAGATCTATTTAACCTTTCACACTACTTTTTATCTTTCGTTTTTTCTCAACTTTCCCTCCTTTTCCAAAATTTAGGTATATAATTCTTTGAGTCACAACTCCAGCTTTATTTAGTAATCCTTCCTCATTCACACATCTCCAAGTATTTGAGAATATTTCTATTCCACTCAAAAATAAAATATGAATAAAGTGAAATTTCGTTTTTGAGTTTATACCGTTGAAATAAATAAATAATAAAAAAATTAAATCATTTGTCGATTTTGTTTACACGTTTATTGGGCCGCATTGGAACTTGCCTTGGGCCGCATGCGGCCCGCGGGCCGCGAGTTGGACACCCCTGGTATAAATAGAAGCAGAGTTCTTACGGTAAGCCTTCCCCGTAAGGCTTACCGTAAAGAACTGTCCATCCCCATGTTTAACGGAATAATATACAGCCTATGTCCACCCTGAAGTTCCATTCTAAATATTAGTGAAAAAATTTTTGAAATCCGATGAGTAGTTTCGGAGATTACCTGCTGCATACAAACTAACATACATACATACATACAAACATTACCTCTTTATAATATTAGTATAGATATAGCCTATATATATATGTGGGGTTTAGACGAGTAACATTCCTAAACTGTTCAGACAATAAATTTACGAGGGGTTGCGGGGGAGGCGAGGAGAACGAGGGAGAGAGTCAAGTAAGGGGAGAAGCGAGAAAGACGACAGTTGATGACGACGCGAAAGTGAGAAAGGGCAAAAAGACGTTACGAAGGCGAGAATATTATCATTCTATCAAGACGGTTACAACGGTTACGAACGCTGGATTATTGTCATTTCTATTTATCTATCTCAATAACTATCCCTATATCTAAAGCTGCAGCCTTGTAAACCAATTTAGAGATAGAATATGGCCTATAGTTTACAACACGACTGGTTTGGGGGGGTGGTTGAATTTTGTAAATCAAAGTCAACATACTTTATGTCGATGGTGTACACTTGATTTCGTTTATGTTATTTATACTATTATAATAACAGAGCACTATAATAATAGATTATTACCTTATTATATGAATGATGATAATAATACATGTATTATTTTTTTATGTATTACGGAAGTATTATAATAATCCAGAAGTACTTTGTTTTTAGAAAGACTTATGGTTGGATGATTCTGAAAAAAAACGTTTATAAACGTAAAACAGTATGAATATACATATAAATTTACTAAACTCAGGTAAAAATAAATGAGAATAATTGTAAAAGTGTAGTTAATCCTCCAAAGCTAGAAGCATTTGAAACAATAGGGCATGGAACAAAAGGTCAAGACAGAAGCTTCTAGAAGGTCAAGAAGGAAGGACCACGTGCAAACGATGAACATCCAAAGACGGGAAAGAGAAACTTTACATAATTATTTACGATCGTTTGTATATGTTTGTAGCTGACAAAGTATCTATTAGAAGGCATGGCTTTTTGCATGAAAATTCCCACCACACAAACCCGACTCGATGCTTATTCGTTGAAGGATAGTCCATTAGCTGAAATATACCAATCAGCTCAACAGGCATGTGAACAAAGCTTTGTTTCATCCAATAAACAAAAGAAAGGTGTTCCATAGATATAACATGGAAAGGAGGAGTATTGCAAAAACTGTAATCATGTCTGTAGCGATCTAAGCTTTGATTTGCTTTCTTGTATGTGTCTTTTGACTGTCTCAACCAATAAATGTTTTGTCACCCCCTCCGAGCCATAACTATTTCGCGAAATACCGTCCTCTTCCGGTGTAAAGTAATTAGAGGCGAGGAGGCAGATTATTGGCTGATAAAATTGATAGTCAACTTCTGTTACACTGTAGTTGGTTACTTTCTGTCTATGTTGATATTAGATCAACGAATCAGCCACCTGTGAAAACAGAGCTCAAATTTCTGCTAAGTGTCATCCCACTAAGGCTACAATCTTTGAAATATGTAAACAATCGTTATAAAATTGCTTGTTTTTGCCGTTTTTTAGCTCTAATTAGCTAATTTATTGTTTTTAGACAGTATTTAGGCGAGTAAACAATCTTTGAAATATGTAAACAATCGCTATAAAATTGCTTGTTTCTATAGTATTTTTTAGCTCTAATTAACTAATTTGTGAAATCTGGAATTTAGTAATCTAAAAATTTAATTATTTCTTCTTCTGTTATATAACGGATTGGAAAAAAAACGATCTTAGTTGAGAACATTTGAAACCCTCCTTCCATAACTATCAACATTCTATTGTTTCCACGAAGCCTGCAGCTGTACAGTACTTGCACAAAAGTTTATAATTAGCATCCAAATGTCGTCATTTGTTCTGGGTCCCTGGAACACCTATAACCTTTATTTCCTATAACAACCGATCACGTGACAACATCGGATACCGTCGAGTTGAATGTTCGAACCCGCCATAAATTCCAAACCTTCAACATCGAATACCGTCCGTTAGTCACGAACTTTTATACTTGTGCCAATTTGGATTATCTTAAAAACTTATAGGATATCTGTGTGACATTATTGAACTCGAATCGTCGTGGAAACCTACAAAGAGGTATGAAAATCCGTGTAAACTCTCTCTTGAGGTCTTAAGCGTTTTAGCTTCGAGATTACTGTTTGTTTTTGTCAATCTTGTCTATTTTAATAAATTCTTGTTTTATTTGTTTAATGGTATACTCCTTTACTCGTATACGGTCTACGCCTTATCGTCGACACCAGCTACTCTCCCTCCACTCCACCGACATAGAGCAGAAGTCCCGACCCTAGGGACCACTCTCATAACATAGCCATCTTGACAAGTGAGCGGAAAGGGAGGTGCGACCATCCCCGACTTTCCTGGACGTTCACAAATTTATTCTTAGTATTTAGATTAGTAAACATTATTTTATAACTGTGAAGTTATAAGTTATTTGGTAAAGTGAACCATTTCCCTCGCTGTTACATACCATAATATGAGAAAATATGTAAAGAATCGCATGCGAAATTGGGTAGCATAGTCGATTATTTTAAAAATCGTCGAAATAATATAAAAATAATGTTTCTTATACATTTTCGCTAAGAAAACTTGTGTGGACTTCGACCCACAGATGACTCATCCACTCACTGCTAGGAGAGTAATTACAGAAGTAGTGTAAATAATGGCAATATCTTCTTATTTGCTGTAGCTAAAAGGCTGTGGTTTGTTTTGTTTTCGAACAAAGGATGTGCGTGACTGATAAATCTACGATATTTTTAGCGAATTTTTATAAATAAATATACTAATTTCTGTTTTNTTAAATAGATTTATATAAATTTTTCTTAAACAACTTAAATAAATAATTTAATTCAACTACAATTAAAATGGGAAAATTGATAAAATTTAAAATAAAATTAATATAAACGAAAAAGGTTATGAAACTTTAACATCCTGAAAAACTGCTCTATTACTTTACATTTTACTAGAACCGAGGATGTTTTGCTTCCTTCCTCCACACCTCATATCTTAGAATTTTGCACACCACCTGGTCAAATGACACAACATTTTTGGGAAAAAGATGAAATCATAATCAGTAATAAAAATATGGATTTGAATAGACTGGGGGCAGTTCATCCCAGATAGAACATGCCATAGAGCCAAATTTATTGTAAATTCTCTCTATCATACGGATTATAGTCATAGAGTAGACATATGTTTTATGTTTTGTTGTTTATTTACTTGTCGTTGTTATTTTGGTCTTCTGTAATTAAATTGTTGATTATTATATTACTGACTTTTGTAGTCGAGTATTTGTTCCTTATGCACAACCCACACAGAATCTTACCACTTGGGTTCTGAAAAAATTTAAGCCTTCCGGTGACAAAGTGAGCAGGTCTAATGGATCTGACGATTATAGGGCCTTGACCCTCGTCCGTATTCTCACACAATGTAAAAAACATTTTGAAAAATTTCATTTTAATTTCGGCCTTTCAACAGATGAGAAAAGAACATATTTTTCAAATATGTTCTTTTCTTAACTGTTGAAAAAAGAAAATCCGTTGTTTTAAAAACGTTTTTCATTCCAAAAAATAACATTACAGCTGCTAACTTTCAATTTGCCCATTGCATTGCTCGCCACGGGAAACCACTTTTACAAGGAGAGTTTGTAAAACACGTGTTTTTAGAATGTGGCGCTACTTTGTTTGCAGATTTTAATATATTACGAAATTAAAATAAACTTAATATTTTAATAAAAATTAATTAAATCTCAATAATAATAATAAAAGACGCTTTTAGTTAACGAGTTTAAGATAGAGTAAGATAATGTAATGAATACGATTATAACAAATTGGAGGGCTTATCACATTAAGGCCGACAGAAACTTAGACCAGATGCTTTACAAAAAGCCAATTGCTATAAATTCCATAAGACTGTGCGAAGCCAACTAACTGCTTTGTTACAAATAATGTCAATAAATTTAGAATTAATTTTAAATTCACTGTCCTACGTCAAGAGTCCAGACTGGGTTAAACAATTGGTAAAATTGGTGTTAGATAATATATTTTTTTGAATTTCAAGGTAAATATTACCGACAATCGGAAGGTATATGAATGAGATCCTGCATAGGTCTTTGATTAGCAGAGTTGTGAATGATCATAATTGATAAAGAAATCAATAAAACTCGAGGTTAATTTATCAAAGATATGTAT